TCCCAGGAAGAGCCAGCATGGGTTAGAGTGGAGGAGAGCCCTTTTGTTTCTCTGCCCTGTGGCCAAAGAGGCATTTGCCAGAGGCACCAGGAGAGGGAGCTCTGGCCTTTATTTTCATATGTCCCATCCTTCCCCAAGCTAGGGACCCAGGGGAGTTTGCTTTGGGAAGTGCCTTGGGGATAAGGCAAGGGGGAATAGTTTTTCTTTCTGGTGAAGCTTGGAGAAACGAGTAGCTTTGGTAGTCACCCCTGGCTACAAAACTTGTGGGTTCTTGGCTCCTCAGAGAGGCTGGGACAGTGGCAGTTCCCCTCTCCCACACAAGCTCTTCATTCCCCTAGCTGCAATCCCTGGCTGGTGGTGGACTTTGGCTTCTTCGCTTGGCTCGCGTGAGGAAAAGTAGATGTGAGCTCACCCCCAGGAAGTTCAGCAGTCACTAATATTACAAAACCATCAGCCCTGTCTGTGGTCTGACGTGAGGCAAAGTTCTGCCAACCCATGTGGGTCAGGGGCAACCTGTGTCCTGGGGGCGTGGTTCCAGCGCCTCAGTTTTAGTGAAAATGTTCCTTTTCCACCTCCCTGCTTCCCATAACCCTGCCCTCAGACTGTGAGCTGGGAGAGGCTGTTTCTTTATCTGTTGCTGAAACTTTGTCTCTGCAGCGCCTCTTCTCAGAGGCCAGGTCATTGTTTCTTGGGTGTCACAGGTGCTGTTTCCCTGTGGGCTCTCTTGGGGCTCCTGGGGTCCCAAGGATGGAAATTGACCTCATACTTTCTTAGCTTTTCCTGGGGAACAGCTGTTTGGACTAAACTGGAAATGAGCCTCTGGAAGTATCCGATACAAATACCCCCAGATATTTAGTGAGTACACAAAAAAGCAACTTGGGCCTTTAGACACTCATTTGTCAACTGTGCTTCTAGAAAGGATGCAGAGGGGATGGGGGTAATATCTTCTGCCTTTGTTTCTGAAGGCAGAAGATAGGAAGCTGGCTGCCTTTGTTCTCCTGGGAGGGAGGATGTAGAGGAGAGGGCTGAAATCGGAGGCCTTTTCTTCCTCCTCTGCTTCTGTTGGTTCCCAAGCTAACATTAGAAATTCCTAGAGAATCCCATTCCCAAACAGCTTCCCAGTGATATACCTGTATACTTCCAAGGCTAATGAGACCTTCTTCTTCAATGTCTGCTCAGGAGACAAAAAGCAGTGTACTCAGGTCTCTCATACTTTGATGCTGATTTTTAGATACCTGCTTAAGTGTTTATGATAGCTATGGCTATACTCATTATGAGGGGAAATTTGGACTGAGACCTTGCCTAAATATTAAGTATAAGAGAGCTTTAATGTGGAAGACCCACCTTTTTTGTACCTAGGGTACTTTGGAGAATTGTGAGCCTACCACTGTATCTGCTAAAGAATATGAATTGGGACCACAGGTCTGTGAAAAGAGGAATTAAGTACAGATGGAAATGATATTTTCATCTCTGGATAAGGATGCAGGCGCAGTGCAATTGCCCATGGGTGGGAATCCCAATACTGGCAGGGACGGTACTCAGTCCTTGTCCCTGAGCTTGCTGCTGCTTTCCCCTAGGTATGCAGTGCTTTGTGGTCAGCTGGCTGAGCATGAGGGCATCCAGAGGCGCATCCAGAGTGGCTTTAGCTTCAAGGTGAGGAAAGGCTTCTCCTCCTTCCCTGGTGCTGGTCTAGTCCAGATTCCCTGCTGCATCCTAGCTCCTTGCAAAGGTGTTCCTACAGCCTCTGTGACTTGCCTCTGTTCCCTTAGTAATTCTGCTATCTGATGTTAGCTTATATTTATATTTTCCCCTCAGGAGCATGTGGACAAAGCCATTGCTCTAAAGCCAGAAAACCCCATGGCATACTTTCTCCTTGGCAGGTGGTGCTACCAGGTAAGCTAAATTTCAGGGCTTGACATAAGGGCCCTAACTAACTGTCCTGAGACACTGATCACCTTTACAAGGAAGAGCAGGGTCCTCAGCCTGGTCTGGCTTATGTGTTATTTCCTCTAAGTGGTCACGTTAGTGGTGATTAGACCCAGTCCTATTTGGCCCTGTTTGCTTTCAGTACAGAACATTCAGTGTTCCTAAAGGTACTTAAGTTTTTAGTCACACCTTCATCTCTTGGTGGCAGGTCTCTCACCTAAGCTGGCTAGAAAAAAAAACTGCGACAGCCTTGTGTGAAAGCCCTCTCGGTGCTACTGTGGAGGATGCCCTCCAGAGCTTCCTAAAGGTATTGGGGAAGGAAGGGAAGGGTGGACAGCAGCCAGAAAGGCCAGAGTGACCTTATTTTTCCTAAGGACATTATTGGAAGGGGTTATAAGTAGAGGGCAGCTTTATGTGTGCCTGTTCTATGGGAAAATCAGAACCATCAGAAAAGCTTATAAAAAATATAGATTCACTGAATCAAGCTCCAGGTTGGGGACTGGAACTCTCTAATAAACTTTAGCCTGACTTGGACTTTGGAACACCTTACTGAAATGTGTTCTCCCTTCTCCAGGCTGAAGAACTACAGCCAGGATATTCCAAAGCAGGAAGGATATATATTTCCAAGGTAAACTCACCTGCCTATTTCAACATAGATGAAAGTATGTGTGTTGATATTTCTAGGAACTCCTGAGGGCACACATATTCATCCCCTTCTAGTCTCCTGGTGGCATTTCTCCCAGGTTTTCACTGTTGTCTCTTCTCAGTGCTACAGAGAACTAGGGAAAAACCCTGAAGCTAAACGGTGGATGAAGTTGGCCCTGGAGCTGCCAAATGTCACTAAAGAGGTAATACTTAAGACCTTTACTAACACAGGGATCCTTCACTGAGTCATTATGTGACCCTTTCAGGAAAGAATATCTTCCCTTGAGGTCTTATTCCCTCCTTTTGCATGTGTGCTGTCTCGTATACATCTCCCCTAGGGGAGGAGACAGATTTCGTAGGTTCCAGGCTCTTCTGGGAAAGTAGGAAAAAGACTATGATATGATAACAGCTTAGCAAGGAAGCAAAGGGCCCATTCTCAGGTACCAATGGTTTTGGAAATGTTGGCTTAGATTTTGAGTCCTAGTCTTATTCTCTTGTCTCCCTAGGATTCAGCTTTCCAGAAGGACCTGGAAGAATTGGAAGTAATTTTAGGAGAATAATCACATTTCAATGGCCTTCATGACTTGAGGGGGAAAAAAATCAAGTCTTTTTTCTCTTAGATTCTGCTTAGATCAGGAAACTGAGCAAGACTGGTTAAGGGAGTGTCCTGACTCCTAGGTCTGACTGCTACCTGCCACCATTCCCCAACTTCTTCTTATTGTCTACTGGTTAACTTATTCTAATCCGTTACCTAATCTGAAATTGGGGAAGTACTTGAGGCCCGGGTTTCTGTTACTCTCTCCGTAAAGTGAATTCTTGAAAAACCAAGACTAGTATAACACCTGCCCTAGGGTACAGTGTGGGTAGAGCACTGAAGGCTGTCTTCCAACTGCTGGTGAGGTGGATGAAACTCCAAAGAGCTAGCTCTAGGAACAAAACATAGAACTTCTCTCTTTTTCACTGATTAATATTCATCACCAAAGTATATAGTCCTAAAATCACACCCTAACCTACCCGGATAAAAGGTCGGAGAGTCCATGGGTATCGCCTCTTCTCAACCTATCATGTGGATTGTAACTGTATTCCTGGGCCGAGGGGCTGGACTACTTGACTTCCAGAGTCCTGGCAGCTTTTGGAACGACAGCAGTGCATAAGGCTTATGAGACTGTGAAAATGATGATCTGAGGAGTTGCCTGGAATATATTTTGGTACAAACCTGAAATAAACCAAATTTAACTAGATGTGATTATAATCCCCTTTCTATGTTTGTTATAGCTCCTTATTCTTGCTTGACACTTCCATAACTGTTTTCTACTATGAGACTATTGCAGACAAGTAGAAAAACAGTACCAAATAGTTTAGAATAAGCTCTCTGGTTAATAATACTTCCTAATACTTCCAGAGAAAATTTTAGTTAAATGTAAAACATTAAGAAGAGCTTATTTTTAGCCTAACAAGGCCTAGTCCAACTAAGCAGCTGTTCCCTGACCCTCTCAGGGCCAATAGCACAAAGCCTAATCCCATCTGAAAAGAAAATCCTCCCTACAAGAAAAATTGAGCAGTTTTTAGGTCAAGGTCACTTAAATACTTTATAGGACTAAAAGATGAGATGCTTTTATTTAAGAACCAAGCTTCCATTCCAGAATCTGTTACTGTGGCTTTATTATTTCATCCCAGGTTTGTTCTGTAATGTAGAAACGAAAGAAGGCCTAGGAGGTACTCTGTTCTATAAAGTCAGGGAACAGAACTGTTTTTAAAACAAAGTTGCATTAAATTGTATCTTCCTATCTCCCTACATATAGTAGGATCAACACTGGCAACAGCAGAGATTTGCACTGCCTCTCCTCCTAATACTAGCCGAGAAGCCCTTTGAAATTGGAAGAGTTGGTTAGAACCGATCCTGAGTAGAAGTTTGAAGAGGAAGGAGTATCTCAAACCCCTGAAGTAGAATAATCTGGGCAAGAACCAGCCCTATACAATACAAAACTTAAAGAATAAAAACAAAGGCCACAGGAAAGCCATGGTGTAGCCATCTTGTGAGAGCTTCTATTAGGTTAAAGGAGTATAAAATGAATCATCTGAATGTGGGACTTCCCTTTTACATTTTCAATTTTAAAGCAATAGAAACTGATCACCCTACCCAGAGCCAAAACTATATTATGAAGGCCCTATCCTGAAATATTCAGCTTGTACCAGAATAACTCCTACAAGCGGCACATTCACTACAAATAACTACTTTATTAGCAGTCCCACATTGAATCTACTTGGAGAGCTTCCGAAATGTTTAAGATTCCAGAACTATCCTGAATTGCTCTTAGCATTAAAAGAGTAGATGGTGAAGGGCTGGTAGCCCAGCAGGCCTATTCAATACACCTTATCTAAAAAAACATTCTTATATAAGCTAATTCAGACACACAAACTTTACCTGCTTCTGATTTAAGAGTTTTACTGGCAGAGAAAAAAAAAAACCTGTGAGGAGACCCACTCCCTTTGCCACATAGCTCAGGCATATTTTTCCCCAACATTATTCAGACAGTGAGAGAAGTCAGGTCTCTCCAGTTTTAGTTCTCTTAGAGACATAAGATTGGCCAATAGCCGTTAGTCCTGAGTCAACCCCAAGGCACTATGATGTCAAAGGTACTTCATACCTACACCCCCAAACCAAAGAATTCACAAAGAGATTAATATACTCTAGAAGGAATAAACATTTCAGATCAGCTTGTGACTACTGACCTGTCTCGTGTTTACACCATAAGAAAAGCCGATATAATAGCTGTTTTCCTGGAAGCCTTTTCCTGGCAGTCACAACAGAAGAGGCCTGTGAAGAACCTCAGGGAGCAGTCCTCTCCATTAGGCTGCAGCACTTAAGGTTTATCACAGGAAAAAACCCAACGATTCAGTCCTTGGCATCTCCTACTCCATCCGCATTGATGGCAAACATAGCTTCAGCTTCAGGAAGACAAGGAGAGTCATAGATTTTGCAGATTCTGGTTTCCCCTCTTCCTTTTCTCAGGTACAGTCTGGGACAAAGACACAGACCAAAGCACCAAAGTTATTATAATTAAAAAATTCTATTCCTGGGCTTCCCTGGTGGCGCAGTGGTTGAGAATCTGCCTGCTAACGCAGGGGACACGGGTTCGAGCCCTGGTCTGGGAAGATCCCACATGCCGCGGAGGAACTAGGCCCGTGAGCCACAACTACTGAGCCTGCGCCTCTGGAGCCTGTGCTCCACAACAAGAGAGGCCACAACAGTGAGAGGCCCGTGCACCGCGATGAAGAGTGGCCACCGCTTGCCACAACTAGAGAAAGCCCTTGCACAGAAACGAAGACCCAACACAGCCAAAAATAAAAATAAATAAAAGAAGGCTCAACATTAAAAAAAAAAAAATTATATTCCTGACTACTTATAGTAGATCTAAAAATTTTTTAGACATATATACTTCCTAGAAGGACTTTGGGGATCTTTCTGTATTCCTTAGGGCAGGGGTCCCCAACCCCCGGGCCGTGGACCAGTACTGGTCCGCAGCCTGTTAGGAACTGGGCCGCACAGCAGGAGGTGAGCAGAGGGTGAGTGAGCGAACCTTCATCTGCCGCTCCCCATCGCTTGCATTACCGCCTGAACCATCCATCCTGGCCACCCCCCCACTACCCCCGCCCCGTGGAAAAATCGTCTTCCACAGAACTGGTCCCTGGTGCCAAAAAGGTTGGGGACCACTGCCTTAGGGCACTTGCAATCCAGAGGAATGCATTTCTGCTCACCCCCTGCCCCACAGTGGATTTCCCATATTGAAACCTTTTAAAAAATAATGAGAGACATCAATTGCTCACATTTATTCTTCCACATACGAGAGCTTTTAATTCCTTTATGAACTAAAAGCAAACACCTGTTCTAACCAGAGCATGACAATTAGGTTAAGCAAGGGCTCCCGTGTCTAATTACACAACAGCAGCGGTTAACAAGGTTCAAATGGAAATGTTATCTTCATGTCTATTGCACAGTTAATATGACATTCCATGATGAAGCCATCTCTCCCATCACTTTACCTTGTTGTTGAGGCATGAGCAATGATATTTCCTCCAATAGGTTTTTTAGGATCTGCAGCAAACATGGCTGCTCCATCCACTTGGGCTACCACCTGGTTGGTGATTACCACTGCTACACCAAACTGACAGGGAAAGGATAAATGTCATTTTTTTGTGGTCAGACATTCCAACAGACTTACTGCTTATCCCCCATAAAGCAATGAATGATTGAAGTCTCTATATCTAACTGATATCTTGATGATACCAGGCCCTGGTATCCTGGTCTCCCAGCAAGGCTACTAGAATTCATGGCCCCTGAAAGTAGGCATTCTCTGTCCCTACCCCACAACTTACCTCATCAGCAAGTCGCAGAAGCATCCGCAGAAACCTGGCCAAGTGCATCTGCCTGGCGGAAAGCTCACCTCGACCCGAATAGTCTGTTCTGTAGAGGGCGGTGGCACTGTCTACAATTAGCAGTGCATACCTACAGGGAACACGGATTCTCTGAAGCCTGTTTCTAGCCCATGTCAGATTCTGCTCTTTCCCATTACCCTGAAATTTTATAGTTATATATTATTTATTTATACAGCATCCATTTCTGAATAACCCTATAACAAAGTAAAAAATTCCAACAAGTTCAGGTGGATTATAGCTTCATATTTTAAAAGCGACTTGACCTAAACGACAAAGCAAGAGTGGCAAAATAGGAACTAAAACTTAAATCTCCCCATATCTAATTCAAGCTACTATCAAATTGGCCACATGTACAAGATTCAGGGTAAGGGCTCTGGGAACATACTCGGTATCTTCTATTGCCCACATACCTGGACTCCACCATCATGGCTGACGCTTGATAAAGGAGCTGGGTCTGGTGGTCTGTGTTGAACCCTCGAGCATATGCTACATTATCCAGGACGTCACTGCCAGAGAGGCCATATCTAGAAGAAAGAACATTTTGAGGCTGCACACAGAACTAAGGCAGATGAGAAATTCATCTCTAACAACGAAATTACCTGGATGGGTAGGTAAGAAATGATAGTAAGAAGGCTAAAGAATATAATTCCCTTTCTATTAGGAAGCCCAGGGAAACTATAAAGAGATGACAGCAACTGCTTTAGAGTAGATCTACCTGGCAGGACTTCTGAATAAATCAAATTTATTTTTTGAGGACTCCTGAACTAGAATGAGAAATTTCCAAATATAAGGAAACAATGGTCTCCTGGAAAAACAAAGGGCAGCATGACAGAATTGGGACTGAAACAAAAACAACGAATCAATCAATTAAAAACATACATAAACTGCTGTTGTATAGGAATAAAACCTTCTAAGCTCAAAAACCTTCTAAGGACTCAAAACTGTAAGAGGTTTAAGAGAAGTAAGTATATTTCATCTATTCTCCCCTTTTTTCTTGCTAGTAACTAGTTACAGTTATAGAATATGTGACATGTATCTAGTATGGTTAAATAAGTGATACCTTAATTCATCTTATACCTCAATAATGATTTTTCTTCCCTTTGCATTTAAAAATACTTACTATTTTCTTAGAACAATCTATATTTTCTCACCTTTGTAACTGCTACCTAAGACATGAATACTCAAGGTGGTCCAAGTAAGACAACTTCTCATTAAATGTATGCTAATGGGACCCCATTTCTTCAAAGGGAGTTTGATTTATCCATCTATCAAGACAACTAAATACCTGCACTTTTATAAAAGCTTCCCTGCACCTCTCAAATAGACATGATTCTCCCTCTTCTGCACTTACAGAAAACTTGATTTAGGCTTTTCTATGGCACTTGTGAGGAGCTACCTGCCATTCTTTTACTAGACAACAAATTCCCTGAGGGAAAAGACTAGGCCTTTCCAACTAGCACATTTTTTTTTATACCTAGTACATTCTGAATAAATGTTGCTGAATACAGCTTTTATCTATAACCCAAACCAAAAGAGAATTATATATCATCACTTTAACTCAAGTAATATTTTCATATTAATGTTACCTAAAATCATTATAGTCCAAAAGTATAATACTGACTCCCTTATGTAACAGTTCAAAAGATAATCTGTTTAAACAAAATCAGTGTGCTATAATTCCTTGAGAACCAAAAACTTCTATGCTTAAGATTTTATCAGTCTTTTAAAAGTAGTCTATTCTATGTAGATTCTGATCATTACAAAAGCATACACTGTGTCAAAACTATTTTTCTGAGACTTAGCTTTAGTAAATAGTTTTCCTCTCATTTTTCCTACCCAAAAGAATAGAAAAACAAAAGAATGTTCTAGCACTTGAAATAACACTGCAATAAGCTGAACCACAATATCAGGAGATCCCACTCTATCCAACTGGATTTTCCACATCTTATGATGAATTGATTCATCATATTAGGCACATGCAGTCTTTGCACTTTCCTGGACATTTCACCAGCTATTCTTCACCATTATCAACATGAATGGAAGTTTAGCTCTTGTATTAAGTGGATTGATGATGATGAATTTGTTGAGTCTGGGCATGGAGATAAGAAAATGAAGTGAAGATAGAGTTTTACCTTGGGATCCTGACCAAATGGGAATAAGGAGATAAAATTTTCTTTATTTAAATCATAACTATAAGACAGAAAAAAAGACTGAAGAGGCCTAAGTCCTGTACTGCACAAGTCTTCTAGTCTTGCGTCAAGAAACACTGATGTAATCTACTATCAGGAACTGAGATTACCTTTTGCTGTCAGAATATGGAAGATTTACTAGAAAAACAAAGAGTCATCCTGGCTTTTCTCTCAACAGAGTTCACAAAGACGACTATGGGGATCTCTGTGCTTACATTCCTGATGCAGCACATAGAACTTTCAATTCCCACAACTTGGAAAAAGTTGGTTGGAAATAAGCAACTTCTCTTAGTGTTTCCAGAACTTCCTAAGGATAAGAATACTCTGTTAAAAAAATTAAATTCCGGGCTTCCCTGGTGGCGCAGTGGTTGAGAGTCTGCCTGCTGATGCAGGGGACACGGGTTCGTGCCCCTGTCCGGGAAGATCCCACACGCCACGGAGCGGCTGGGCTTCTGAGCCATGGCCGCTGAGCCTGCGCGCCCGGAGCCCGGGCACCGAAAAGGGAGAGCCCCGAACAAAAAAAAAAAAAAAAAAAAAAAAAAAAAAAAAATCCTAGGTCTAAACCAGACTTAATGAATCACAATGCTCAGGGAAGAGTTGTGATAATTTGCATATTTAACAAACACCTGGCACATGAAAAGATGCTCAATATCACTAATCACAAGGGAAATGCAAATTAAAACCACAATGAGCTATATTACCTCACACCTGCCAGAATGGCTATTTTCAAAAAGAAAACAAATAGGACTTCCCTGGTGGCCCAGTGGTTAAGAGTCTGCCTGCCAATGCAGGGGACACCAGTTCGAGCCCTGGTCCGGGAAAACCCCACATGCCACAGAGCAACTAAGCCCGTGTGCCGCAACTACTGAGCCCACAAGCCACAACTGCTGAAGCCCGCGTACCTAGAACCCGTGCTCGGCAACAAGAGAAGCCACCGCAATGAGAAGCCCGTGCACCGCAGAGAAGAGTAGCCCCCCATGTGCCGCAACTAGAGAAAGCCCGCGTGCAGCAACGAAGACCCAACGCAGCCAAAAACAAAAAAACACCTGAAGTGATTTTTTTTTTTAATTTTTGGCTCGTGGCATGCAGGATCTTAGTTCCCCAACCAGGGATCGAACTCATGCCCCCTACGTGGAAGTCCTAACCACTGGACTGCCAGGGAATTCCTGCTACAGATTTTCTTTCTGGAAATTTCATATAAATGGAATCATATGTGGTCTTTTATGTCTAGCTTCTATCATTTAGCATGTTTTTTGAGGGTCATCCATGCTGTAACAAGTATCAGTACTTCATTCCTTTTAATTGTTGAATAGCGGTCTATTGTATGGATCAACCAGATTTTATTCGTTCATCAGTGGATGGACAATTGGGTTGTTTCCAGGTTTTGGCCACTATAACAATACTATAAACATCCACAAACAAGTCTCTGCGTGGACATGTTTTCATATCTCTTGGGTACATAACCAGAGTGAAATTGCTGGGCTATATGACAAATTTATGTTTAACTGCCACATTGTTCTTTTCCAAAGTGACTGCACAATTTTACATTCTCACCAGCAATGTATTAGGGTTCCAGTTTCTTCACATCCTCCCTGACACTTGTTACTTTTTCATTACAGCCATCCTAGTGGTGGTATCTCACTGTGGTTTTAATTTGCATTTCTTCTTGACTAATAATGTTGAGCATCTCTGCATGTGCTTATTGGCCATTTTACATCTGCTTTGGAGAAATGTCTATACAAGTCCTTTGACCGTTTCTTTTCTTTTTTTTTGTGGTACACGGCCTCTCACTGTTGTGGCCTCTCCCACTGCGGAGCACAGGCTCCGGACGCGCAGGCTCAGCGGCCATGGCTCATGGGCCCAGGCCGCTCCACGGCATGTGGGATCTTCCCAGACCGGGGCACGAACCCGTGTCCCCTGCATCGGCAGGCGGACTCTCAACCACTGCACCACCAGGGAAGCCCTGCCCATTTCTTAATTGGGGTGTCTTACTGCTGGGTTGTGAGAGTTCTTTATATATTCTTGATACTAGAACCTTATCAGATATATGATTTGCAAATATGTTCTCACATTCTTTGGGTTGTCTTTTTATTTTCTTGATAGTGCTCTTTGAAGCACAGAAATTTCAAATTTTGATTAAATGAAAACTGACTCTGTATTATCGTTTTTTTCTTTCATAGACTATGCTTTCTTGTGTTGTATCTAAGAAATCTCTGCCTACTTCAAGGTCACAAAGATTTTGTTTTTTTCCTAAAAGTTTTATAATTTTAGCTAAATATAGGAATATCATTCTTTAAATATATATATATATATATATACAGTAAACATACATAACATAAAATTTACCATTTAATCTTTTTAAAGTGTACAGTCCAATGGCAGGAAGCACATTCCCGTTGTTGTGCAACCATCATTACCATCCATGTCCAGAATTTTTTTACCATCCCAAACTGAAACTCTGTACCCATTAAACAATAATCCCCCATTCTCCTCACTCCTGCCCCAGCAACCACCATTCCACTTTCTGTCTTTATGAATTTGACTGCTCTAAGTACCTCATATAGGAGGAATCATACATTTGTCCTTTTGCAACTGGCTTATTTCACTTAGCATAATGTTTTCAAGGTTCATCCATGTTGTAGCATACTGTAAGCATTTCCTTACATTTTGAGACTAATTTTCCATTGTATGTATAGAGGACATTTAGTTTATCCATTCAACTGTTGATGGATACTTGGGTTGTTTCTACCTTTTGACTACTGTGAACAGGGCTGCCATGAATACTGGTGTGTAACTATCTGAGTCCCTGCTTTCAATTCTTTTGAGTATATACTCAGAAGTGGAATTCCTGAATCATATTGTAATTCTGTTTAATTTTCTGAGCAATCACCAGAATGGTATCCATTTTTAGTTAACTTTCATGTATAGTGTAAGGTAAGGTGGATATCCAACTACATTAGCACCATTTATTGAAAAGACTATTATTTCCTTCACTAAATTGTCTTTCACCTTTGTCAAAAATCAAGTGACTATAAGTGAAACAGTTTATTTCTTTTTTTCTTATAAATTTATTTATTTGGCTGTGTTGGGTCTTCATTGCTGAACAAGGGCTTTCTCTAGTTGCAGCAAGTGGGGGCTACTCTTCATTGTGGTGCGCTGGCTTCTCATTGCGGTGGCTTCTCTTGTTGCGGAGCACAGGCTATAGGTGCGTGGGCTTCAGTAGTTGTGGCACGCAGGCTCAGTAGTTGTGGCTCATGGGCTCTAGAGCGCAGGCTCAGTGGTTGTGGTGCATGGGCTTAGTTGCTCCATGGCACGTATCTTCCCGGACCAGGGATCGAAACTGTGTCCCCTGCATTGGCAGGTGGATTCTCAACCACTGCGCCACCAGGGAAGTCCCAAAACAGTTTATTTCTGAACTCTCAATTCTGTTCCATTGATCCATATGTCTCTCCTTATGGCAGCACCACACTGTCTTGATTACTGTTGTTTATAGTATGTTTTAAAATTGGGAAGACTGAGACCTCCAATTCTGTTCTTTTTTTCCTCCCAAGCATGTTTTGGCCATTCTGGGTCCTTGACATTTACATATTAATTTATAATCACCTTGTCAATTTCAGCAAAAATGTCTTGGTGAATTTCAATAGGCATTGTGTTGAATTTATAGATCAATTTGAGGGGAGGCGTTTTTTTTTTTTTTTTCCTGCACCTCGGCTTGCAGGATCTCAGTTCCCCGACCAGGGACTGAACCTGGACCACAGCAGTGAAAGCCCAGAATCCTAACTACTAGGCAACCAGGGAACTCCCTTACCATTTTAATAATATTGCATCTTCCAATCCATGAATGTGGAATGTTTCTCTATGCAGATCTTCCATTTCTCTCAGCAATGTTAGTTTTCAGTGTACTAGTCCTTTTTTTTAAAAAAAAAATATTTATTTTGGCTATACCGGGTCTTAGTTGTGGCATGCAAGATCTAGTTCCCCGACCAGGGATCAAACCCAGGCCCCCTGCACTGGGAGCACGGGGTCTTACCCACTGGACCACCAGGGAAGTCCCTAGTGTACAAGTCTTGAACTTCTGGTTAAGTTTATTACTAAGTATTTTATTCTTTTTGACACTATTGTGAATGGAATTATTTTCTTAATTCTTGAATTGTTCATTTACAGTATACAGAAGTACAATGGATTTTTCATATTGAGATTGCATCCTGCAACAAACTAATTTAGTTCTAGCAGTTTTTTGTGTGTAGTTTCCTAAGGATTCTCTACATACAGTATCATATCATTGGTGAATAAAGATATTTTACATCTTCCATTCCAATCTGGATGCCTTTTATTTCATTTTCTTGCCTGACTGCACTGGCTAGGATCTACAGTACAATGTGGAACATAAGTAGTGAGAGTGGAGATCCTTGCCTTATTTCCAATCTTACAGAGAAAATATTCAGATTTTTACCATTAAAATGATGCTAGCTGTAGGTTTTTTGTAGATGCTCTTTATCAGGGCATCTGATAAATGTTCTATCCATTATTGAAAGTGAGGCATTAGGCCCCAGTGAGCTTGAATTGTCTATTTCACCCTTCAATTATATCAATTTGTGTTTCACATATCTTGGGGCTCTATTAGGTCTCTATATGTTTACATTTGTTATATCTTCCCCATGAACTGACCTTTTAGTTCTAAAACGTTCCTCTTTGCCTCTACTGATTTTTTTTGTCTTAAAGTCTATTTTGTCTGATATTAGTACAACCACTCCAGCCCTCTTATGGTTACTGTCTGCATGCAATATCTTTTTTCCATCCTTTTAGTTTCAACCTATTTGTGTCTTTGAATCTAAGTGGTTCTCTGGAAGGCAGCATATAGTTGGATCTTGTTTTTTATCCAGTCTGACAGCAACTCATAGATTTTTGACTAAAGAAGCATGTTTTTCTCTAAGGAAGGTTATTCTTTTGAAACACACATACGACTTTGGGATACAGAGCAATAAGAGAGAAGAAGAGACACCCTTCAGCCAGACTAGCCCTGGCAATCACTACAGTGACATATGGAGCCATATTTCTCTCATCTGATCCAGTAACCTACCTCTCAGCCACTGCTAGCAGCCGTTCTGGCCTAAAGGTACCCTCGGTGTCAATGTACATGGCCTTTCCTTCACCTCCACCTCGGTCAATGGGAAGCTAGAGAGAAAAAGAACAGTGGAAATGACACTGTACTTCTAATATAACTGACCAACTTCCTCATGATGGGTCTAAAATTCCTCCCACCCCCAATAAAGCAAAAGGAAAAAACACTTTAAAGTGACAATCAGAGGTAGGGAGGAGGCATTCACTTCTGACAGAAATACAGTTAGTAGTAGATATGAGGCTCATTGTGTCCCATAAAACGTGAGGCTAGAGTCTAGCCAGAGTTGGAGTGCTTGGAAATATAGACCAAAGTAGGTGACAAAATTCTTAAAAAAAAACAAAAAAAAACTTCTAATTTTTTTTTTTTAAATTCTATGACTGTATACCAACACACGACCGATCAATTCTCTCAAGACAACAAACATTTGGAAGATCATTTACTTAGCTTTAATAAGTAAGAGACCCTGATCCAATACCCAATTAATTTTAGCATATGCAGACCACACTTACACTTCACTTTATTGAGCAGAGTTCATTCCTTAGGGTTGCTAAAGGAGACTGGAAATACCCCAGGGGCATCCCTAGCACATCTACAATATGAGCAAGAAAGAATAAAAAGATGTTTCCTCCAATCGTACACACAGATGTTAAAAATGAACAAAAGCAGAAAAGGAAGAATACAAAGAGTTTTAAAAAAGGAAAGAAAATGGAGGAATGACATGAAAACTGTCTTATGAGCTCCTCAGGGAAATCTGTTTCAGGCTACCTATCCCACGCCAGACACCCTGAGTTCTACAGATTTTAAGTGAATGTTGCTAAAGTGTATTTTCCACCCTTGAAATCTACTTTGGAGCCTAATACACCTTTAAATTCTGAGGAAAATCCCTCAGGACAGTTTACATTAAGTGCCTGGTAGCACCAAAATTTTCTTTTCCTATTTCTGAGAAAATGTATTTTTTCAAAATTACAAAAGTACTACATGCTTGTATTAAAAATTCAAACAATATAGAAAAAAGTAAAAAATTGAAAGTTCTTCTTTATCACTCCCATCTCCCACAGGAGTCCTCTTCCAGATCACTTTCTACACATTTTCATACAAACACTTTTTATATGTGATTCTGCCACTTGCTATGTGAACCTGAGAATATTAATCCTCAGTTTCTACATTTTCTGTAAAATGTAGATAAAATCTCCCTATGGCACTGTTTTGAAGATTAGATAATTCATGTAAACTGTTTAGCACAGTGCCTGACATACAGAATGTACTTGGAAGACTTATGATATCCTCCACCTCTTAGGGCACTGATTTTAGCATATACTCAATTACAGAAGGCTTTGTTAATTTGGAAAGGGGGAAATGATTACGCTATCATTATGCAGGTTGGCAGATAAATCTTTCAAATCTTAGGAATCCATGAAAGGAGCAAAGGATATGTATATAACAAAAGAGGGTCTTGATAGAGGAAATGTTTAAAACCACTGGCCAAGAGGACAGAAAGCAGAAGCTGCCTCAGTTTGGGGGGAGGAGAAAATCTTCACATTCAGGGGGCTAAGTCCCCAGGAATTAAGATGAATGAAATTCTCCCTTCTCTCACTTTCTTGTATCTTTAGTGCTAGCATGCCAGGGAGTTCTTTTCCAGCTAAATAGACCTCCTTGGGAGAAGGGAGGCCATGAGTGGCTGGCATGGCATTGGTAGGCCGACTGACAGCAGAGAAGTGGACATGGTCCCAGGGTATTGCTGGGCCAGTCACAAGGGGATGGACTATATGCTCTGCACCCCACTGCATTTTGTCTCCTCCACCTCACCCTTCCAGTGCCACTTCAGCCATCTTGTGTTACTGGGCTGGGACACCACCAAAGTAGCTATTTTTAATACCTGCTTAGTACCATAATTGAACTCTTCTTCCTATTTTGTAGTGATGCAAGTTGTTTTGAACTTTCACCATTTTATAATGCTACGGTGTAGATTCTTTACACATTTATTCTTGACTATATGTGAAAAGTTCTGTAAGACACATTTTCTGTCAAGGGCATGTGCATTTAAAATTGGTACTTATGTTAAACTGTCTTCTCAGAATTTTAAAATTATTCTAGAACTTTGAACAAGCATGGGCTATTCATTTTTGTAACCTAAGTATGGCTCCCAACTTTACAGAACTTCACTATTAGACAGAGATCTAATATATAGTGGGGTTTCGCTTCATTAAGTTGAGAAAACCTGAAAAAATGTGAGGTGATAATGTTTAGATTTAAATAGTAATCTAACACCCTCCCTATACCTCTGGTTCCAGCTCTTAGGCTGGTGACATGTAATCCTTTCTATTATTAATGAATTAGAATTGTTTTTCTCTGAAAAAAATATCAAAGATCCATAGTTATTCAGCCAACTGTGAATGTTCAGTTATTTTTATAGAGAGGATATATTTATTTTAGAATTTTCCTTCAGTTTATTAACAGGCATTATCTGACAACTTAATAAACATTTCCAATATAGGAGTCTGTCTGTACAACTTAAGAGCATCAGTGTGATAGGCTGAGTTGCCATGGCAACTATATTGTGTAATGTACTTGAAATATTTATTCCACATGAATCCCTGTCACAACAACATGGGGTGGGGGGGCTTCCCTGGTGGTGCAGTGGTTAAGAATCCACCTGCCAATGCAGGGGACACGGGTTCAAGCCCCGGTCCAGGAAGATCCCACATGCCGCGGAGCAACTAAGCCCATGCGCCACAACTACTGAGCCTGCGCTCTAGAGCCCGCGAGCCACAACTACTGAAGCCTGCACCTAGAGCCCGTGCTCCACAACAAGAGAAGCCACCACAGTGAGAAGCCCGCGCACTGCAACGAAGAGTAGCCCCCGCTCAACACAACTAGAGAAAGCCTGCACGCAGCAACGAAGACCTAATGCAGCCAAAAAAAAAATAAATATAACAATTAAAAAAAAATAAGATTAAAAAAAACTCAAAACAACATGGGGAAATCATTTCTATTTAAAAAGGTCACATATCATGTCAAATGACCCATGTCTGGGTGATATTTTAAACACTCCTATTTCCCTTTAGCTAACAATTTTCTAATGGTGCTTTGGGCAATAAGCTATAGCTTCTACAGCTTACTATACCACTCTTCCTCTTCTCATTGCTTCCCCTCTTATCCTAAAAGTTCTCCTATCCCCCTAACTCTTTTTCTACTAGGAGTTATGTATGAGATGGAGCCAACATGGCTTAGGTCTACTTGATACTGGAATCCTAACGTGGCTGTCATATGGTGACATTTTAGTTGCAATGAAAAGATCAGTAGAGCAACTGAGGAGAGAAACACAATTAAGATGACAAGTGAGAAAGGAAAATGATGAGAAAAACAGAAGACCATGAAGTTGGGCCTCTAGCTATTAGATAAACTTTTATTCATGAAGAAGCAAAATATTTTCCTATCTCAAGAAATGGCGGGACTTCCCTAGTGGTCCAGTGGGTAAGACTCCGCACTCCCAATGCAAGGAGCCCAGCTTTGATCCCTGGTCAGGGAACTAGATCCTGCATGCATGCTGCAGCTACGACCTGGTGCAGCCTAAATACATAAATAAATAAATATTGAAAGAAAGAAATGGCATTCACCACTTCAAGACAGAAGTATTGACTGATGGACATATCTGTAACATGAAAAAATGAGGAGACAGATTTTCTTGGGTAACTTCAGAAAATCAGTCTCATAATATTAGCCTCTGCACATATATGTGTTTCACTAAAATGTGAACCCTACCCAAGACACAGGATCCCAACAAAATCCATATTTTTTTTTTATGGCACATACCATCTTTAACTATAGCACTGCATTACAATGATGTAATAAACATTTTTTGTAAAGTGCTATTTGAATACAGAATAAATTATGAAGGATAGTTCATAACTTGTTTTATAAGGGAAAAAAACACAAAAGAGAACAATTTATATTTGATGTTTAAATTTATAAATGAGTTCCAACAATGACTGTTATTTTGTTGAGATGATAAGAATTCACACTGAATGGAAAGATACTAGGAAGCCCCCTCTGTCATAATGATAAAAGGAGGCAGAGGGCTTCCCTGATGGCGCAGTGGTTGGGAGTCTGCCTGCCGATGCAGGGAACACGGGTTCGTGCCCCGGTCCGGGAAGATCCCACATGCCGCGGAGCGGCTGCGCCCGTGAGCCATGGCCGCTGAGCCTGCGCGTCCGGAGCCTGTGCTCCGCAAGGGGAGAGGTCACAACAGTGAGAGGCCCGCATACCACACACACAAAAAAAAAAAACCAAAAAAAAAAAAACCTAAAAGGAGGCAGATTTCCTTTCAGTTATTCTCCAACTCCATCAGTAAGTTTGCCCATGGGAGAAGTGAGTATAATCTATCTAGATTCAAATACAGATAGTCCCCAACTTAACTATGGCTCGACTTACAATCTTTCAACTTTACCATGGTGCAACAGTGATACAAATTCAGTAGAAACCATACTTCAAAATTTAAATTTCCATCTTTTCCCAGGCTAGCAATATGCCGTACGATACTTTCATGATGCTGGGCAGCAGCAGTGTGCCGTGCTCCCAGTCAGCTGCCTGAGCCAAAGGGTAAACAGCTGGTACACTTACAACCATTCTGTTTTTCACTTTCAGTGTAGTATTCAATAAACTACATATAAGATATTCAATACTTTATAAAAAAGTAGGCTTTGTATTAGATGATTTTGCCCAACTGTAGGCTTATGTAAGTGCTCTGAGCATGTTTAAGGTAGGGTGGGCTAAGTTACAATGTTCAGTAGGTTAGGTGTATTAAATGCATTTGTGACCTATGACTTTCAATTTACGATGGGTTTATCAGGATGTTACCTCATCGTATATCAAGGAAGATCTGTAATGCCATTTTGTTCAAAACACCTCAAACCCACCATCTCTAACTTTGAACTCATCTTTCCATACAACTGTCTCTGTCTCCAAAATCCTTTTTAGAGTTTACCAAAGTAATACATTGTTGGGCTGAGGGGTATTTTTTATTGTCATTTGTAGCAATATGGATGGACCTGGAGATTATCATACTAAGTGAAATAAGTCAGAAAGAGAAAGACATACCATATGATATCACTTACATGTGGAACCTAAAATATGACACAAATGAACCTATCTATGAAACAGAAATAGACTCAAAGACATAGAGAACCAACTTCTGGTTGCTGGAGGTGGGGGGCGATGGAGGGGTGCGGGGGGGGGAGATGGATTGGGAGTTTAGGATTAGCAGATGCAAACTATTATATATAGAATGGATAAACAACAAGGTCCTATTGTATAGCACAGGGAACTACATTCAGTACCCTGTGATAGGGACTTCCCTGGTGGCCCAGTGGTAAAGAATCCACCTTCCAATGAAGGGGACATGGGTTCGATCCCTGGTCAGGGAACTAAGATCCCACATGCCATGGGGCAACTAAGCCCGCCTGCCACAACTACTGAGCTGGCGTGCCTCAATGAGAGAGCCCATGTGCCACAAACTACAGAACCCATGTGCGCCCTGGAGCCCGCGCGCCGAAACGAAAGATCCTGCATGCCTCAATGAAGAGATCCCGTGTGCCGCAACTAAGACCCGACAAAGCCAAAAAGAAAAATAGAAAAAGAAAATAAAAATTAATAATAAATAAATAAATATTTAAAAAAAGAATATCCTGTGATAAACCATAATGGAAAAGAATATGAAAAAGAATGTATATATTAGTATAACTGAATCACTTTGCTATACAGCAGAAATTAACAAAACATTGTAAATCAAATATACTTCATAAAATCAATTTTTAAAAAAAGGTAGGTGGGTTTTGTAGTTTTGATGTGAAGAACAGGTTAGGTCATTTGGCTAAGAGTGAGGGTTGAAGAGAAGCATGAAGGTTTGAGAAGAAAGGACAAAGTATGAGATAACTGTCCTACTGAGTGGGAAAAAGTCTGCCTGAATTCAACCTTTTTCAGAGGAGAAATTCAGTAGGTCTGCCAAGCAGTATCAAATGTTAACTTAAAGTCTGTCATCTTGAATTTAAAGTGATGCCAATCACCTTTATGTTAGGATTTTTCTCCAGTATGATCAGCTACTTGGGAACAGGCACTGAAAAGACAGATAGGGTTTATCTAGGAATGGCATCTCTTCAGATGGGGGATGTAAATCTGAGGGTATCTGTAAAGGAATGACTTTAATGAAGAATCATTTAATGATGAATCATACAATATAAACTAGTGAAGAGGGCAGGTGAAGCCAGGGGAGGCCTGGTGGTTGGTAAGAAAGTATGTGAAATTAATAATCTGAAAGTTTCTACGCTGTGGAAGTTTTGCAGTAGCAGTCTATCTTCTAACTAGATATAGTATTCTTTTTTTTTTCTTTTTTGGCCGAGCCACGTGGCATGCAGGATCTTAGTTCCCCAACCAGGAATCGAACCTTGCAGTGGAAGCACAGAGTCTTAACCACTGGATGGCCCGGGAAGTTCCCCTAGCTATAGCATTCCTGAAAACAGTGAAAGTGCATTTTTTGCCCATGCTAACAGATGCTTGCTAATAACAGGAATCAACACATTCTTGCTGATCTGATTAGTTAGAGCCCCAACAGCTCACCTGGCATGTTACAGCCAACGTATGACAGATCTGGGTCTTCCCAGTTCGGAATTCTCCAAACATCTCTGTGATGGATCCAGTCTCAATTCCTCCTAATAGAAGAGCAATAAGAAACACCTCTTAGCACAATACAAATATTTAGAAACAATAATCATAGAAATGTCCTAGGGGGACTTCCCTGGTGGTGCAATGGTCAAGAATCCACCTGCCAGTGCAGGGGACATGGGTTTGATCCCTGGTCTGGGAAGATCCCACACACTGCAGAGCAACTAAGCCCGTGCACCACAACTACTAAACCTGCACTCTAGAGCCCACAAGCCACAACTACTGAGCCTGCGTGCCACAACTACTGAAGCCCGTGTGCCTAGAGCGGATACTCTGCAACGAGAAGCCACCACAATGAGAAGCCCACGTACTGCAATGAAGAGTAGCCCCCACTCACCGCAACTAGAGAAAGCCCACACGCAGCAATGAAGACCCAATGTGGCCAAAAATAAATAAACTTATATTTATAAAAAAAAGAAATGTCCTAGAAGCTCATCAGAAAGATGTTTACATAATTTAGAACCCCAATTTTCAACAAGCAGTAATTTTAAAAATACTTTTTATTTTGGAATAATTCTAGATTCATAGAAAATTTCAAAGAAATGTACAGAGAGGGCCTGTGAATTCTTCACCCAGCCTCCCTCATTGTTAACGTTTTACATAACTATAATACAGTATCAATATCAGAAAACTGACATGGATACAATCCACAGAGCTTATTCAGATTTCTCCAGGTATATATGCACTCATTTGTGTGTGTGTAGTTCTATGCAATTTTATCACATCTGTAGCTTCATTTCACTATCACCACAAATCAATATACAGAACTATGCCATCACAAGTCAATAAGCAGTCATTTCAAAAAATAAATTATAAATAATATCTAATGTTTACCAAATGTCTCTTGTGTATCTGGCATTGTGCTATGTATTTATATATATATATATCAATTCATTTAATTCCAATAACTTATAAGGTAGGAAGTCTTTTTTTTTAAAATAAATTTATTTATTTATGGCTGTATTGGGTCTTCGTTGCTACGCGCAGGCTTTCTCTAGTTGTGGTGAGCGGGAGCTACTCTTCGTTGTGGCGCACAGGCTTCTCATTGCAGTGGCTTCTCTTGTTGTGGAGCACGGGATCTAGGCGTGTGGGCTCAGTAGTTGTGGCTCGTGGGCTCTAGAGCCCAGGCTCAGTAGTTGTGGCCCATGGGCTTAGTTGCTCCGCGGCATGTGGGATCTTCCTGGACCAGGGTTTGAACCCATGTCCACTGCATTGGCAGGCGGATTCTTAACCACTGCGCCACCAGGGAAGTCCCGGTAGGAAGTCTTTTTGTCCTCATTATGAACATAAGAAAACCGAGGCGTAGACCACAATAAGTAGTCTGCACCATGTAATACAGCCAGTAAATGCTGAGGGGGGAACAGGAGAGAAAGCAAATGCTCAAATTTGAGTGTGATTCCTGAACCCATGCTATTTTGTGCCCTAAAAAAAAAGGAAACTTGAATGATCGAATATTTGGGGAAGCAACAAGGACCAAATCTAACTCTGCAAAAATTAAAACAGCAGTCCTTTCAAAAGTTCAAAACCTTTACAGCTTTCCATAAAGTCCTAAGATTAGTGTGCACTACAATGTATTGATCCTACAAAGTAGTATTCAAGCGTGGAGTGTTTTAACCAGTCATCAGATTTTCTACCTTGTGGTAGATAAAAGGTTATAATTATTCTTTAGGCAGAGGGAGCTTACTCTCAGAATGCAATATTAAATGGAGATTAAATTATTTAATTGGCAGATAATTTTAGTAATTTTTAAGTCAAGTACCACCCTCCAGCAGTCTTCCTTCTTCAATGTGAATACTTCTCTTTATTTCTTAATTCTATCTAACACATAAACCCGACCCAAATATTTTATTTAGTTATATTCTATAACCTGGATGCTTTGCTAACCGCAGTTCACAGCACAGGATAAGGGATTACTATACCTTGAAGTAGTTTGTCAAGCTCTTTGGAGCCGGTAGTAATCTGTATGATCTCAGACCGCCTTTGGTGGAACTCAGTTGCAGTGGTGAAACCCATTGGAACTAATTTAGCTGCCTCAGTCTGGGGAAAAATAAGAAATGCCAAATCGATGAAATACGCTTAGTAAAAACCAGGCATACAGTGGGAAGAGATAACATCTAACAAAATTTCCAGAATGATCTCTCTTTAAAAAGTTATCAGGCTGGGGCTTCCCTGGTGGCGCAGTGGTTGAGAGTCCGCCTGCCGATGCAGGGGATGCGGGTTCGTGCCCTGGTCTGGGAAGATCCCACATGCCGCGGAGAGGCTGGGCCCGTGAGCCATGGCTGCTGAGCCTGCGCGTCAGGAGCCTGTGCTCCGCAACGGGAGAAGCCACAACAGCAAGAGGCCTGCCTACCGCAAAAAAAAAAAAAAAAAAAAGTTATCAGGCTTCTCTGGTGGTGCAGTGGTTAAGGATCCGCCTGCCAATGCAGGGGACACGGGTTCAAGTGCTGATCTGGGAAGATCCCACATGCTGTGGAGCAACTAAGCCTGTGCGCCACAACTACTGAGCCTGCGCTCTAGAGCCCGCGAGCCACAACTACTGAGCCTACGAGCCACAACTGCTGAAGCCCGGGCGACTAGAGCCCATGCTCCACAACAAGAGAAGCCACTGCAATGAGAAGCCCACACACTGCAATGAAGAGTAGCCCCCGCTTGTCGCAACTAGAGGAGGGCTGTGCACAGCATGAAGACCCAATGCAGCCAAAAATAAATAAATAAATTTATAAAAAATAATAAATAAATGCATTCACAAATACATGGAAATTAAACATTACATTCCTAAATAACCAATGAATCAAAGAAATCACAAGGGAATTTAGTAAATTCATTGAGATGAATGAAAATGAAAACAAACCATACCAAAACGTATGGGATGCAGCAAAAGCAGTGCTTAAAGGGAGATTTATAGCTGTAAATGCCTATATTAGAGAGCTCTTAAATCAATAACGTAACCTTCCCACCTTAAGTTACTGAAGAAAGAGCAAACTAAACATAAAGCAAGAAGGAAGAAGATAAAATTTGAGTAGAAACTAGTAAAATAGAGAATAGAAATACAATAGAGAAAAATCATCAAAACCTGAAGTTGGTTCCTTGAAAAAATAAGCAAAATTGATTTAAAAAGACTCAAATCACTAAAATCAGAAATGAAAGAGGGGACATTACTACCAACATTACAAAAATAAATATATGCCAACAGATAACTTATAAGAAATACAGAAATCCCTAGAAAGACACAAACTATCAGAACTCACTGAAGTAGAAAAAGAATCCAAGTCCAGGCCCCAAATGATTAGCTGAGCTTGAATCTAAATTCAGTAAAATAAATTGTTTGAGTTGGAAGGAAGGAAGGGAGGGAGGGAGGGAGGGAGGGAGGGAGGGAGGGAGGAGAAAATCTGGATAGATCTATAGCAAGTTGAGATTAAACTTGTAATTTAAAAACTTTCCACAAAGGGAGAAAACCAATAAATAGCTGAATCGTGGGTTTGCATTATTCTCTAAACTTCTCTATATGCTTAATACTTCACTTGAAAACTCCTTACAATGTTTATATTATAGTTATTGCAGAACTAAATGGTGTGCTAGAAATACAATTCTTTCACTAAGCTTCCAATGTTAACAACCGATGTCTCTCAAAGGTTTCTGTCAAATTCAAATGAATTCTTTTTTATATGCCGCTAGTTTCAAAATCATGCTCAATTTTACCTTGATTTTATATCTGAGGAATGTCTTTCTCTAGTATTCTCTGACTTTATCATTTCTCAAATTTTCCAACCTCTCAATCTTACTATGTATTCTGCTAATCCTTTTCCCCCCCGAAGGTATCCTTTTCTTCTGCAAATGGGGCTATCTGCTCTCCAGGCTATCTACTGTCCTGGGCTTTCCTTCACTGACTATTTGAGTTGGAGTCTCTCCAACCTAGATCCTATGTTTCCTGCCCTCATTTTAGTAAAGTATATCCTCAAGTAACTTCCTAAGAAAGAATAGGATGAGAGAAAAATGTTCTGAATTCTTGTATTTCTGAAAATGTTGTATCCTGCTCTAACACTGGGTGAATAATATTGCTACAAATAGAATTCTAGGTTTAAAATTATTTACCCTCAGAATTTTGAAGGCACTGCTCTACTAGCTTCTACCATCCAGATTTCTAATAAGAAATGTGCTGTCTTTTTGATTTTTGTTCCTTTAGAGGTCATTTTTCTCTGAAATCTTTCAGAATCTTCTCCTTATAATTGGTATACTGAAAATTTCACACTGAGGAGTCTAGGTGTGCGTCTTTGACACTCTGTGGGGCCTTAGACTTCTGCTTCCCTTTAGCTCTGGGAAATCTTGTATTATTTCTTTGAGAATTTTCTTTCCTTCTTTTTTCCTATAACTTTTACTAATCTTCAGGATGAATGAAAATTAGAAAATAAAAATACTAAAGAGAGGGGATAAGAACTATAAACCAATATTTAACTCTAGTTAATATATGCTAAAATATTTAGGGGGAAGTGTACTGACATCTACAACTGTCTTCAAAAAGCATAAAAAAAATCCCAGATGGACTGATGGCTGGATAGAGAGATAAATAAGTATATTAAAATGTTAATAGCAGTGTCTAGGTGGTGGATAAATATGTGTTCATTGTAACATTCTTTCAACTTCCCAGTAAGTTCAAAAATTTTAATCAAAAATGTGAAGGAAAAAAACCAAACTCATAGGAGATGTTTTCCCTTCTTGTCATTTTAAGCTCGACATTTTCTAGTCTATGAGCTCTTAAAGGAACAGATTATAACCAAAGTGAAATTTGAAGTAAAAACCATGCCAACTGCCTAATCTGGCAGAACTTGACTTCTATTATTTTGTTTATATAAGCTTGCTTTCATCTGTCTTAAATCTGTAGGAGTTTTCAATGTCTGACAAGGAGTTTTTTATGTCTGACAAGGCATAAGCAAAGGTCAGGATTTGTTCAGTCACAAAAACAGATGCCCAGAAATCAACAACATATAGACTTTAGGGACACCTACTGGCTTAATATCACAATCTTTCAAAGAGGCATTAGGTATTCAGAATTCTTACTTATTCAATTAAGTCACCACTTCAACAATTTATTTGAGCAATCCAATAAATGACAACTTCATACTTCATGGATGGCAACATCTTTAAGGGTTTAAATTAAGAATTACTTATAATTTTTGAGCCCACTGAATTAATACTATAAAATAACAGTGCTTAAAAATTCAAAGCTCGGGGCTTCCCTGGTGGTGCAGTGGTTGAGAGTCCACCTGCCGATGCAGGAGACACGGGTTCGTGCCCCGGTCCGGGAAGATCCCACACGCCGCAGAGCGGCTGGGCCCGTGAGCCATGGCCGCTGAGCCTGCGCGTCCGGAGCCTGTGCTCCGCAGCGGGAGAGGCCAAAGCAGTGAGAGGCCCGCGTACCGCAAAAAAAAAAAAAAAAAAAGAAAAAATCAAAGCTCTTAGTATAATACACAATAAAACAGAATTTACTGGGTTGTATATATATTATTATATGATATTAAATAAATCTCAGATATTGTCCATCTGACTAGGTTATGTGGCAGAACTACATGTACTGAAGCTGTAGGATGCATTTTTTGAAGATTCTTTAGCGTTTGAAGATTATTTTTCATAGAAAATTTCTGTATAACAATAGTCAACACAAACTATAAATATATAATTTTATAAATTAAATACTTGCTTTGCACTACAGAAAACTCCAAGAGTAAAGATAAACTCTGTAACATACAAGCGTACTTCATTTTATTGTGCTTCACAGATACTGCGTTTTACAAATTGAAGGTTTGTGGCAACCCTGAGTTGAGCAAGTCTATATGCACCATTTTTCCAAAAGCATTTGCTCTCTTCATGTCTCTGTGTCACATTTTGGTAATTCTCACAGTATTTCAAACTTTTTCATTATTATTACATTTGTAATGGTGATCTGTGGTCAGTGGTCTTTGATGTTACTATAATTGTTTTGGGCTGCCAAAAACCACGCCTATATAAGACTGAACTTAATTGATAAATGTTTTGTGTGTTCTGACTGCTCCACCACTGGCAATTCCCCCATCTTCCCTCTCCTCAGGCCTCCCTATTCCTTGAGACACAACAATATTGAAATTAGGCCAATTAATAACCCTACAGTGGCCTCTAAGTGAAGTTAGAGGAGGAAAGGAGTGAAGTTGCACATCTCTCACTTTAAATAAAAAACTAGAAATGATTAAGCTTGGTGAGGAAGGCATGTCGAAAGCTGAAATAGGCTGAAAGCGAGGCATCTTGTGCTAAACTGTTAGCCAAGTTGTGAATGCAAAGGAAGTTCTTGCAGGAAATTAAAAGTGCTACTCCAGTGAACACATGAATGGTAAGAAAGAGAAACAGCGTTACTGCTGACATGGAAAAAATTTTAGTAGTTTGGGTAGATGATCAAAGCAGACACAACATTCCCTTTAGCCAAAGCCTAATCCAGAGCAAGACCCTACTCTCTTCAACTCAGTGAAGGCTGAGGGAGGTGAGGAAGCCGCAGAAGAGAAGTGTGAAGCTAGCAGAGGTTGGTTCATAAGGTTTAAGGAAAGAAGCCATCTCCATAACATTCAAGAGCAAGGTGAAGCAGCAAGTGCTGATGTAGAAGCTGCAGCAAGTTATCCACAAGATCTAGCTAAGATAATGAATGAATCTGGCTACCCTAAACAACAGACTTTCAATGTAGACGAAATGGTCTTATATTGGAAGAAGCCACTGAGGACTTTCATAGCTACAGAAGAGAAGTCAATGCCTGGCTTCAAAGTTTCAATGGACCAGTTGACTCTCATTTTAGGGGCTAATGCCACTGGTGACTTTAAGTTGAAGCCAATGTTCATTTACCATTCTGAAAATCCTAGGGCCCTTAAGAATTATGCTAAATCTATTCTGCTTGTGCTCTATAAATGCAATGACAAAGTCTGGATGATGGCACATCGGTTTACAACATGGTTTACTGAATATCTTAAACCCACTTTGAGACCTACTGCTTAGAAAAAAGATTCCTTTCAAATTTTATTGCTCATTGACAATGTACCAGGTCACCCAAGAGCTCTGATGGAGATGTACAATGAGATTTAATTTTGTTTTCATGCCTGCTAACACAACATCCATTCTGCACCCTGTGGATCAAGGAGTAATTTCACCTTTCAAGTCTTACTATTTAAGAAATACACCTTGTAAGGCTATAGTAGCCATAGATAGTGACTCCTCTGATGGATCTGGGCAGTCAGCTGAAAACCTTTTGAAAAGGATTCACTATTCTAGATGCCATTATGAACATTCGTTAAAAAAAAAAGTATATATATAAACAACAACATTCGTGGTTCATGGGAAAAGATCAAAATATCATTAAACAGAAGTCTCGAAGAAGTTGATTCTTACCCTCATGGTGACTCTAACAGGTTCAAGACTTCAACAGAGGAAGTAAATACAGATGTGGTGGGAAAAACAAGTGAGACAGGCTGGGACCTGGGACCCTTTGCTGCAGTGCTGCAATGCTTGCACCTGGACACACCTCTCCTTGAGCAACAAAATACAAAGAAACTGTATGGGACAAAAAATAACTGTCTGCATGCGCAATTAGGGCAAATTCTGGACAAAACATACAAAGAGACCAAAAAACCCAACTGTCACTTTTGAAGAGCCTGGAGCAAAAGGAGGGTACTGCCATACGCCCTACACGAAACACGGACTAAGGGATGGGCAAACCACCTAAGCCACCCCTCCAGCCCGATGCCTGGACACATCCCTACCCTCACCCCACGTAAAGAACAAGCTCACCCCCACTCAGGGAGCGAGCAAGCAAAGGAGCCTGTTGTTTGTTCTCGCTCCCCCCTGCTGCAGCAGGGGCCCCAATAAAGCCTTGCCTGAATTTCTTGTCTGGCCTCTGATCAATTTCCATTGATTAAGAAGGCCAAGAACCCTGGTCGGTAACAAAAGAATGAGAAGTAGAGCTTGAAGGTGTGGCTGAAATGCTGCAGTGTCATGATAAAACTTTCATGGATGAGGAGTTTCTTCTTATGGATAAGCAAAGAGAGGTTTCTTAAGATAGAATCTACTCCTGGTAAAGATGCTGTGAAGACCCTGGTGAAATGACAACAAAAGATTTAGAACATGACATAAACTTGGTTGATAAAGCAGTGCCAGGGTCTGAGAGGACTGATTACCAATTTTGGAAAAATTTCTACGTGGGTAAAATGCTATCAAATAGCACTGCATATTACAGAGAAATCATTCATGAAAGGAAGAGTCAATCTACGTGGCAAACTTCACTGTTGTCTTATTTTAAGAAATTGCTGCAGCCCCCCCAGCCTTCAGCAACCACCACCCGGATCAGTCAGCAGCCACTGACATGGAGGCAAGACCCTCACAAGCAAAAAGACTACAAATCACTGAAGGCTCAGATGATGGTTAGCATTTTCTAGTAATGAAGTATTTTTAAATTAAGGTATGTACATTGTTTTTGTAGACATACTACTATTGTATACTTAATAGACTACAGAACAGTATAAACACAACTTATATGCACTGGGAAACAACAAAATTCGTGGCGCTTTACTGCAATATTTGCTTTATTATGGTGGTCTGGAACCTAACCTGCTATTATCTCCAAGGTATAGCCTGTAAATACCAAAGGATAAGTGCATAAAATAAAATGTAATCACAGGGTATGAATGCTAAAGGAATATATGAAGCAAGAAAAATGAATAGTAGCTGTAAGACTTTGGAGGGAAATGAGAAAGGATCACAGTATATCAGGATGAAAATAATTGGATTCTAGTCTTAGTTCTGTGATTAACTGCATGGCTTTGGATAAATAATTGAATCACTGTGCCTAAGTTTCCTTATCTGTAAGACAGAGATAATACTGGTCCTGTCTTTCCCAGTGTCATTATGAAGGCTAAGTGAGAATACTGTATATATGAAAGGGATGGGATTTCAAAGTTAAAGTGCTATAAGAGAACTCTACTCAATATTCTATAATAACCTATATGGAAAAAGAATATGAAAAAGAGTGGATATATGTATATGAATCACTTAGCTGTACACCTGAAACACAACACTGTAAATCAACTATATGCCAATATAAAATAAAAATTCAATTAAAAAAAAGTTTTAAAAAGTTAAAGTGCTATATAATATAAAGGGTTATTAAGTTACTACCTCATTTAGGTTAAGCCAGTGAAATCACTTTTATGTCATTTATTTAGGTTAAAAAAAACAAGCGTATGATTCAGAATCACATTTTTCCTTATTATTAAAGAATCTTGCTTATGACTAGTTGACTAACAGATTATACACCCTAAGAGCCTAATTAACATGACTTTAATATTCAAGCAATAAAAACAGCTTTTCTATTTAAATTAATACATGTTTATCATAGAAACTGTAGAAACTTCAGAAAATTGAGGCAAAAATAAAAACTGCTCACATTCTCACCATCCAGAAACAATGTTAATATTTTAGTGTATCTATCCCCAGTGTATGTGCTATACATATATAAAAACACACATTTTTAAAAACAAAAACATATATGCACACAAACATGTTTTGTTAACCTGCTTTCTTATATCAGTAATATTTTCCTATGTCAACAGATATTCTTTGAAACTATTTTTTGTGGCTGCATACTAATGAGTGTATTTCTAAGGCATGAAATCATAATATCCAGAATGATAAGGTACATACCACTCACTGCTGGTGGGAGTGCAAACTGGTAGTCAACTTAGCAATATTTATGTCATAACCTGTGATACTGCAATTCCCTAAAAAAATCCCAATTTATGCAAGGAGGCACATACAAAGATAATCATCTGGTAATGCAGTCACTTCTGGAAAGGGGAAGAGGGTGACACAGGAGGGGTGGAAGGAGGAAGACCGTAGCCTTTCACTGTACACCCTTTTGTACCACTACTGCCTCCCTCGGTCACACAAACAGTACTTACCAGAATTTTATCAGCTTTGGCTTCACTAATCCCCTTAATATTTATTAGCTCCTTCTTTGGTGCATAGGCAACAGCCTCCACAGTATGGAATCCAGCTTCTTCCAATTTCTTCACATCATTGGCATGTATGCCACATTGCTGCAAGTGAAGAAAACTGTGGATAAATTTAAGCTTCGATTCCCTCATCTGTCTAATGTGGTTATTTGTCCCACCTACTTCACAGAGCTCTTTTTAACTGTGATATTATATGCAAAAGCTTTGAAAAGTATGACCTAAAATTTGAGGCATTTAATAACAAATTATCAACCTATTCATTATCAAAACCAGTGGGTTTTTTTTTGAATTTTATTTATTTTTTATACAGCAGGTTCTTATTAGTTATCTATTTTATACATATTAGTGTATATATGCCAATCCCAATCTCCCAATTCATCCCACCACCACCACCACTTTCCCCCCTTGGTGTCCATGTTTGTTCTCTACACCTGTATGACAGTCTCTAGGATCCATCCATGTCTCTACAAATGACCCAATTTCATTCCTTTTTATGGCTGAGTAATATTCCGTTGTATATATGTACCACATCTTTTTAAATAAAAAAAAAATTCTTTTATCTTTGGCTGCATTGGGTCTTCATTGCTGTGCATGGGCTTTTCTCTGGTTGCGGCAAGCAGGGGCTACTCTTCGTTGTGGTGCGCAGGCTCCTCATTGCAGTGGCTCCTCTTGTTGTGAAGCACGGGCTCTAGCCACGCAGGCTTCAGTAGTTGTGGCACACGGGCTCAGTAGTTGTGGCTTGTGGACTCTAGAGGGCAGGCTCAGTTGTGGTGCATGGGCTCAGTTGCTCCGTGGCATGTGGGATCTTCCCGGACCAGGGCTCGAATCCGTGTCCCCTGCATTGGCAGGCGGATTCCTAACCACTGTACCACCAGGGAAGCCCCCACATCTTCTTTATCCATTCATCTGTCGATGGGCATTTAGGGTGCTTCCATGACCTGGCTATTGTAAATAGTGCTGCAATGAACTTTGGGGTGCATGTGTCTTTTTGAATTATGGTTTTCTCTGGGTATATGCCCAGTAGTGGGATTGCTGGGTCATATGGTAATTCTATTCTTACTTTTTTAAGGAACCTCCATACTGTTCTCCATAGTGGCTGTATCAATTTACATTCCCACCAACAGTGTAAGAGGGTTCCCTTTTCTCCACACCCTCTCCAGCATTTGTTGTTTGTAGATTTTCTGATGATGCCTATCCTCACCAGTGTGAGGTGATACCTCATTGTAGTTTTGATTTGCATTTTTCTAATAATTAGTGATGTTGAGCAGCTTTTCATGTGCTTCTTGGCCATCTGTATGTCTTCTTTGGAGAAATGTCTATTTAGGTCTTCTGCCCATTTTTGGATTGGGCTGTTTTTTTTTTAAATATTGAGCTGCATGAGCTGTTTATATATTTTAAAGATTAATCCTTTGTCCGTTGATTCGTTTGCAAATATTTTCTCCCATTTTGAGGGCTGTCTTTTCATCTTGTTTGTAGCTTCTTTTGCTTTGCAAAAGCTTTTAAGTTTCATTAGGTCCCATTTGTTATTTTTATTTCCATTACTCTAGGAGGTGGATCAAAAAAGATCTTGCTGTGATTTATGTCAGAGTGTTCTTCCTATGTTTTCCTCTAAGAGTTTTTTATAGTGTCCCGTCTTATATTTAGGTCTCTAATCCATTTTGAGTTTATTTTCGTGTATGGTGTTAGGGAGTGTTCTTATTTCATTCTTTTACATGTAGCTGTCCAGTTTTCCCAGCACCACTTATTGAAAAGACTGTCTTTCCTCCACTGTATATCCTTGCCTCGTTTGTCATAGATTAGTTGACCATAGGTGCAGGGGTTTATCTCTGAGCTTTCTATCCTGTTCCATTGATCTATATTTCTGTTTTTGTGCCAGTACCATATTGTCTTGATTACTGTAGCTTTGTAGTATAGTCTGAAGTCAGGGAGCCTGATTCCTCCAGCTCTGTTTTTTTCCCTCAAGACTGCTTTGGCTATTCGGGGTCTTTTGTGTCTCCATACAAATTTTAAGATTTTTTTGTTCTAGTTCTGTAAAAACTGCCATTGGTAGTTTGATAGGGATTGCATTGAATCTGTAGATTACTTTGGGTAGTATAGTCATTTTCACAATATTGATTCTTCCAATCCAAGAACATGGTATGTCTCTCAATCTGTTTGTGTCATCTTTGATTTCTTTCATCAGTGTCTTATAGTTTTCTGAGTAGAGGTCTTTTACCTCCTTAGGTAGGTTTATTCCTAGGTATTTTATTCTTTATGTTGCAATGGTGAATGGGATTGTTTCCTTAATTTCTCTTTCTAATCTTTCATTGTTAGTGTATAGGAATGCAAGAGATTTCTGTGCATAAATTTTGTATCCTGCAACTTTACCAAATTCATTGATTAGCTCTAGTAGTTTTCTGGTGGCATCTTTAGGATTCTCTATGTAGAGTATGATGTCACCTGCAAACAGTGACAGTTTTACTTCTTCTTTTCCAATTTGTATTCCTTTTATTTCTTTTTCTCCTCTGACTGCCATGGCTAGGACTTCCAAAACTATGTTGAATAATAGTGGCAAGAGTGGACATCCTTGTCTTGTTCCTGATCTTAGAGGAAATGCTTTCAGTTTTTCACCACTGAGAATGATGTCTGCTGTGGGTTTGTCGTATATGGCCTTTATTATGTTGAGGTAGGTTCCCTCTATGCCCACTTTCTGGAGAGCAAAACCAGTAGTTTTAAACTAGCACTATGTATATTAAAATACACTCTTGTCATGAATTGGATTAAACCTGTAACTCTAAACCTTTTATGACTAGGATTCTAAATGAACTTTGAGACCCTGGGCCCTAAAAGCCCACTTTAAACATTTCCCAATGTTTTCCACATCAAGCACACATAAAAAAATATGTTTTACACTAAGCTGGGATAAACAGCTAAGACTGCCCCAGAGCTAAGGGAAGCATGTCTTAGCATAACCTTTTTGTAGCACAATGACTGGAAAGCTCTGTTTTAACAAGTGATAGTAAAGACGGAGAAAACTACTTTTGGTCAGGGATTTATATACCACTTCTCAAAAACAAACCACCCAAAGGCACTTCTTTCTCCCTATATACAAAGTCAGCTTTGATTTTTATTAGCCACCAAAACCATGACTTCTAGGACAGCATGAATTATTAGGGGGATGTGTATGTATCTGGGGGTCAGGGAAGGTTTGGGAGAGGGGAGAGAATAGTACCTGCCCATAGAAACCTGTCTGTTATTAATATTTAAGCAAAAAGCAACACATATGTGTGGGTATAAGGATGCTCACTGAAACCAAAAGTTATGACTCTGAATTTTCCAATGTTTATCACAGACCCGTTTAAGTAACTTCCAGAGAGTGGAAGCTTAGGGGGCAACGGGAGGAATATGCATAAGGAGACAGAAGAATGAAGGCTTTCTCAGCTTTTTATCCTGCTTCTTTCAGCCCAAGTCAAGTGCACTCACTCTGGGGCCTCTGTACAATGCACAGAAATAGTGCAAGGCCCCAGCTCTGGTGCTTGATGTTCTTGTGCAGAGTCTTGAACTCTCACAACGTAACCCCAAGCCCTTCTCTCTGCCTATGACAGCTGTCTTCCTAGTAACTTCAGCACAGATCGAGGTCAGTGGAGAGACATTGTTCCTCTCCCCTTCCTGCATAGCTGGCCCAGGCCACTGTAATTCCCTGGACAGTAATTTCATACTTAGTACAAATAGCAGAGACTCTACCATGGGATCATAGGGCTTCTTAGTTTCTGACATACAGCTCTAAGAAAGAAAAATGATAATGTAGTAGAAGAATTCTTGACCAAAAAAGAGATCTGGCCAGATGTGTTTAGCAACTGTCTTAAGCCTTTCCACAGAATCCCTGACAACCCTCCTGAAAACTCTAATTTGGATTTTGACCTTAGGTAGTAAACCAATGGTTTATGTAAAGGTTGTGATTTCTCCCAATAGGTAGAACAAGCTTGTCCAGCATTATAATTCTAAAATTAGCAACCAAGCACATACCTCTAATCGAGAAATAGGTTGTGGGCCAAAGCTCTCTTCTTCCACTGAAGTATCTGCGTTTGCTTCAAGCTGCATCTGCATAGCCATTACTTAGTGTTCAATACTGAAAAGTACAGATGGCCATCAGGAAGAACACTAGAGAAAGTACAGAGCTGCAAACATAGTTTTACAATAAATCTCTTTAAGAATTACTTGCTAGGCTTTTGGCTTAATCACTGACATACCCATGGCAGGAAAAAGAAAAAAAATCTCTCACCAGCCTTCCCTTTCACCTAGATAGCTGTATCAGAAAGACTTTAGGAGGAGCCAGCACTATCTTGCTTCTATAAAGTAGAACAGCTTGGACTCCCCTGGTGGTGCAGTGGTTAAGAATCCGCCTGCCAATGCAGAGGACACGGGTTCCATCCCTGGTCCGGGAACATCCCACATGCCGTGGAACAACTAAGTCTGTCACCACAACTACTGTAGCCTTGGGTGCCCTAGAGCCCGCGCGCCGCAACTACTGAAGGCCACACACCTAGAGCCCGTGCTCCGCAACAAGAGAAGCCTGTGCTCCGCACAAGAGAAGCCCACGTGCAGCAACGAAGACCTAACGCAGCCAAAAAATAAAATTAAAAAAAAAAAAAGAGACGAACAGCTTAACTAGATCAACTATATCCCTCTGTTCCCCTGCTTTATATTCCTTAAGGATAGGGGACAAGTCTCATTTATTTGTATACACCTCATGATACATGATAAATCTTAGGTACATCTTAGGTGTTTGGTAAATATTTGGCAAGTGAATGCAGACTTTCCAGAACTCTACTTTAAAAAAAAAAAAAATCGATGAAAGGTTAAACTGTTTCAGTCCCATTGTTCCCCTCCAGAAAGCAGGGTTTTGGGGTGGTGGGACAGGAGTGAAACAAAGGTACAGAATAATTGCCATAAGCCTCCATTCCTGATAGAGACACAATGGACTGAGATGAGAGAAGTATCTCCACCTTAGGCAAGGACGGCTTGCAGTCACACAGTTTGCTTCTAATAGAAGTGTATGAAATTTAAAGATCACCATTTTTTTTGGGGGGGGGGGTGTGCTGTGCGGCATGTGGGATCTTAGTTCCCCAATGAGGGATCGAACCCGCACTCCCTGCATTAAAATCGCGGAGTCTTAACCACTGGACCACCAGGGAAGTCCCATAAAGATCACCATTTTAATCAATTCCAGACTTCACTGAATGCACAAATGAATAAATAACATGGAATTACCTTGCTCAGTTTGAAATCTTCCATATAAATATAAGGCCTATACCAAAGTCAGATTATTTTGATAGAGTTAAGACTGCTCAGGTTGAAAAGAATGAAGAACAAAAAGATTTCTATTATGAGGTATTAGTAAAAGCAAACAAGTTTTGATGGCCACAAGAATAAATGTACTTAAATCTGGACAATTTAACAAGCAAGATAAATTTAAGTCAAAAGACAACAGATGGGCTTCCCCAGTGGCACAGTGGTTGAGAGTCTGCCTGCCGATGCAGGGGACATGGGTTCGTGCCCCGGTCCGGGCAGATCTCACATGCCGCGGAGATGGGCCCGTGAGCCATGGCCGCTGAGCCTGCGCGTCTGGAGCCTGTGCTCCGCAATGGAGAGGCCACAACAGTGAGAGGCCCGCGTACTGCAAAAAAAAAAAAAAAAAAAAAAAGAGAACAGATAAGGGCTTCCCGGGTGGCACAGTGGTTAAGAATCCACCTGCCAATGCAGTGAACATGGGTTCGAGTCCTAGTCTGGGAAGATCCCACATGCCACAGAGCAACGAAGCACGTGTGCCACAACTACTGAGCCTGCATGCCACAACTACTGAAGCCTGCACACCTAGAGCCGGTGCTCCGCAACGAGAAGCCACCACAGTGAGAAGCCCACGCACTACAATGAAGAGTAGCCCCCGCTCACCACAACTAGAGAAAGGCTGTGTGCGGCAACAAAGACCCAATGCAGCCAAAAATAAATAAATAAAATTAACAGGAAAAAAAAAAAGAAATCTCCATTCTTAGAGACTTGACAGAAGATAACCATGTTCTTGATTGGTTCAGGTGTAGCTCTTAGATGGCATGTTTAGCATAATGTGAGTTTATGATAATTCCAAATATCAGAATCACCTGAATGCAGCTTAAATTTAAGTGTCTTCCTTCATAATTTATGAAAAAGATGGCTTGAACTGTATTCATATAGCAATAACCAAAAAGCAAAAGACTGAAAAACTAGACTGTATTTAAATTTAGAACTTCTATTCATCAAAAGACACCACTGTGAGAATGAAGTCAAATGATAGTGAGGGGAGAAAATATTTACCACATATATAACTGGTAACCAGAATATACAAAGAATTCCTTCAAATCAGCAAGACAGAGAGACAACCCAATAGAAAAATCGGCAAGAGATCTGAACAAGCACTGCACAACAGAAGATACCCAAATGGCTAATAAACATATCAACAAATGCTCAACTTCATTAATGATCAGGAAAATTAAAATTAAAACCACAAGGTAGGGCTTCCCTGGTGGCGCAGTGGTTCAGAGTCTGCCTGCCAGTACAGGGGACACGGGTTCGAGCCCTGGTCTGGGAAGATCCCGCATGCCTCGGAGCAACTAGGCCCGTGAGCCACAACTACTAAGCCTGCGCATCTGGAGCTTGTGCTCCGCAACAGGAGAGGCCGCGATAGTGAGAGGCCCGCCCACCGCGATGAAGAGTGCCCGCCCCACCCCGCTTGCTGCAACTAGAGAAAGCCCTCGTGCAGAAACGCAGACCCAACACAGCCAAAAATAAATAAATAATAATAATAAAAAAACCCCAACAAGGTAATAGCTAAAATTTAAAAGACTGACAATACTAAGTATTAGCAAACGTGTGGAACAACTAAACACTCGTTCACTGCTGGTTTGAGTGTAAATTGGACAACTTTAGAAAACTGGTATTAAATATGGAAGGTGAAGATAGGCAAATGCTATGACCCAGGAATTTCACTACTCTGTATTATTAACCCACTGAAAAGCATACACGTGTGCACCAAAATGTATACAGGAATATTCTTTCTCAGCAGCCTTTCTCATACAAGTTAAAACTAGAAACAATCCCGATATCCGCCACAGGTATAATGAATAAGGAATACAACATAGGAACAAGAACTGCTAAATGCAAAGACATTTACAAACCTGCAGACAAAATGGTGAGCAAAGGCAGACACAAATATATAGTCTTCCTTTATACAAAATTCAACAACGGGCAAAATTAGACAATGGTGTTAGTAGTCAACACTGTGGTTACCTCTGGGGAAAAGGGAGAGTATTAGAAAAGGGGGCACAAGGGAGGCTTCTTGGGTGCTGACAGCATTCTATTTCTTGACCTGAGTGGTGATTACACAGATATATTCATTTTGTAATGATTCATGGAGCTGTAAACACTTTCGATCTGTGCATTTTTCTATTTGTATATTACACTTCACTTCAGAAGTTTAAGAAAAAACAACAAATCTCACTAGAGATCATTCCCTAGACATCACTTGAACGGTCTTCCGCATTAAAAAACGCAAATACCTTACTGGCAACTGGAGGTGGGTACTCTGTAAGCCAAACTTTGTGTAACGGAAAGGGCACTCACCAGAAATCCGGCTCTGGCTTAAGAGCTGTGACTTTTAAGTCACTATACCTCTCTGGATCTTGGGCTTCCTCGCCCACGCCCATAAAGTGGATGTTGCAAGTGAAGGCCAGTAAGGTTCCTCCCAGCTCTAGAATGCGCTTCTATTTTCGCCACAATGAGCTCCGAGGGTCGGACTAGCCCGGGCACAACCCTGCTCCGCCCCGCCCCGCCATATCCGAGTTTTTTACTTGGCATGGAGGGGCCCCTAAGCCCGCTAAGGGAGCTGGGGCCCAAGTCTGGGTCCGGGTACGGGTTCGGGTCCGGCTTACGCGGTGGGAAGGGGCCAGGCCTGCGCCTCACACTCACCTCAGCCTGCAGCGTAACTCGCCCGGGCGGGCTGCGCGCTCCGACTACAGTCCGCCGGACCCGCGCGCGCCCGACCCCGGACGGACTGCAGACCCCCTCACCTGCACCCCACTTCTCTACGCCCTTGCTCCGGCCTTCTGCACGAAACCCAGGCGACTTTCAACTCCTAACTACGCTCCTGGGGCGCGTCTCAGCTCTCTTCAGACCGCGGTCTCAGGCGGCAGCACCCACTCCGTCTGCCGCCTTCGGAAATCCCGCCAAATCCTATTGGGCAGGGTCACGCCTGCGTCAACGTAACGTCTCCTCGCCCTTCTCGGGTCCGCCTCCCCGCCACTTCGGCTACTCGTGAGGCCGAGATAGGCCGAAAGAACTTGACTTCGCAGGATGTTTTGGGTTCCCCTCTTGTTTTTCTCCCTTACGACTAATTCAAAATTTGGAAGTTGCGTCCTTCTTCCCTTTACCAGATCGGGGACTACAACTCCCAAGAGGTAGTGGGCCGGTCCGAGACTACATCTCCCAATATGCACCGCGGGAGGGCGACGCAGCTTTAGCTCCTCACCACCTGTAGATAATAGCTAGGCTTTTCGGAACTCTTGATCTGTTTCTTAAGCATCTAAACTGGGGTATTTGGCCCTTCAGGTTGCTTTGAACTCCAACTCAGTCAAATTCTGGAGCCAGGGGCTTTCTAGGCCCTTGTAGGTGGTGGAGCTGAGGACGCTCGAGTAGATGGATGAGGCTGGAACATAGAGCTAATAATGGAGGCGAGGAAGAAAGGACTGAAATATTGGTAAAGCTGTGGTACTTTATTGGAGATTTGCAGGACTCCAGAGGAAGGAGACATTGATTTTGAGAATGTAAATCTTATCGTGGTTAAAAGTTGATTACGGTTTTAAAGGTTGGGTAGGGTTTCCTGGGCGAAGAAGAGGAGATGAAAACATTATAAGCGGATAGAGCAGCATGGGTATGGAAATTAACAGTGTGGTCAAGGAATACTGTTGTCTGATGAGGCAGGAGAAGTGTAGTAACAGGTGCTGAGACTGTTAAATTACGTTTATTTCAGGCTATGAAGAGGCTTAAGACCATTATAGAGCTTTGGCCTTTATTCTTTAGGTAATGGGGAAATCACTGAAAGTTTTTAACCTGATGAGTCATGTGCTTAGACCTGTTTTTTGTTCCCCACCACTTTATATTTGTGGAGTGTTTTAAAATTCATAAAGATTTTGTTTAATCCTCACACTGTTACCTTGTGGCATTGAAGGATAGATTTCAGGAGAGTGAGAGTAAAGACTACAAAAACTGTTAGGAAGCTCTTGCAATATTTCAGGCAAGAGAGGAAGGCCTGAGCTAGAGCAGTGACAGAGAGAACAGATTCAGGAAGCATTCTGGCGGTAGAATCAACCTTAGTGGTTATAGATGATACCTGGGGATAATAGTGAACTGCCTTCCATACCAGAAATATGCACCTTCACCTCCTATTCTTCACATACTTTCCTCCTGAGAGCACCTGCAAACCCACAGCCCCTCTTGGCTGAGTGAAGATACATGACTTCGACCTTTCATGAAAATGGAATTCCTTTGGCTGTGTGGATGTCAAACCAGAGAAACCCCATCTGCAGAAAGATTAAGAAGTTTAGAGACTAAGAAAGTGGGAGAGAGTCATACAGAAAAAAACAGTTTTGAATTCTGACTGCTTTCCAGATCTTTCCAATTTCTCAGGGGCCCAGCAGCACTTAATGCTCTTGAGGTCCGTGAGATACCCCTATGTTCCAGTGATCTCCCATTTTTTTCTGCTTAAACAAATATGTCTTTTCATCCAAGGCAACCCACTACGAAGTCGGAAATGAGACAAAATAGATTTCTTGATAACAGTTAAATTAGCAATCCATGAGAATATTTATAAATATGTAATTGAAAAGTTTTGAATATATCCTAAGTTACAATGTAAGTGACCTATCTGAAAGCTCAAGGAGGCAACTTCTAATAAGACCAAAACTTAATCAGCAGAAATTTGATAATTCGTCTCAAGGAAAAGTGATCTCATCAGTGTAGTCACCCTGGAGTACAGAAAGGGAAATCCAGAAAGGGAAACCCCATGTCACATCCAAGTGATCTATTTGAATAGTGCAAGGACGATTCAATATTAGGAAGTCAGTTATAATTGGCTATATTAATAGGTCAAGGAGAAAAACCAAATGGTTAATTTCATCATATTGGAAAAGCATCTGTCAGGGAGAAAGAAATTTTCCTCTACCCTCCTAAGTTCTTCTGGCTGATCTAAGAATTAAATTGACGTAAGACAAGAAAATCAAACAAAATTTTAATAACATGTATAGCTGGGAGTGACCCAGGAAACCTGAGTTACTCCTCAAAACAGCAGAAACCCTCACCTTAAATACTGTCTTTAGTAAGGACAAAAGAGGATGTTGAGGGTAGTGGTTTAGGACTTCAAAAGAGAGGAAGGCAATTCACAAGCAGATGGAAAAGCAAACGTTTGGCAAATAAATGTTTGTTTGGCCATGCAGAGACAATGGAACACAGAGTGGACTTGTTTTAGGCAATTAGGGGGAAGGTCAAAGTTATTTCCTGACCTTGATTGGGCCTTGATTGTTTTCAACTCGAAACAACCCACAAACCAAAGAGACATTCTGGTGTGCCAAGTTTTGCTCCCCTACATATCCAATAAAATTCAACATAAATTCCTGATTAAGGGGAAAAAACGGTAAAAAAGGAATTAGATATTTGCTTAACACGATCAGTAATATATAGATACAGATATCCCAGACAAGCTGCCATCATCTCTTTGCTAATGAAATGTTAGAAACACTTTCATTAAAATCAAGAACAAAATTATCTATTGCCACTATTATTTACTATTGTGCAAAAAGTGCTACTAAGTGCAATAACAAAAGAATGAAATAATAAAAGATAAAAAACAAATAATAAAAGATGCATATCTTGGAAAAGATTTACAGATATGATTATATGCCTGGATAGTTTAAGGGACAATAAGAGAGTACATTAGTGTAGCTAATTACGAAATATAAAAAGATCAGAGCTTTATTAAGTGCTAACAATAACTAGATAATGTAATGGAAAAAAAGATCCCATTCAAAGTAGCAACAAAACCCATAAATGTCTAGGAATAAACTTTAAGAAATGTTCAGGACCTGCATGGAGAGATCTCTAGAACTATGTTCACAGAAGAGCTCAATGTTATAAAGTTGAAAATTCTCCCAAATCAGTGAATTCCTAATAGAAATCCCAATGGGATTTGTGGCAATCACTGTGGGTTGCCTACCCAACAGACACTGCCCTTCTTTATGGCTAAGAGAAACTAGTATGTGGAAGGATGCTCTCTAGTAAGATTTTTGGATGACTTTGTCTTCCTCTGCATTCATGTATGGTTTGAACTTTTTGTACAAATTTGTTTTGACTTTACGATGATAGTTTTAAATTGTAACAAAAATATAAAATATCTTGGAATAAACTTAATGAGAAAAGTGTACATCAAAGGAAACTTTAAGATATTAAAGAAAGGCCTTCCTTGGTGGCGCAGTGGTTAAGAATCTGCCTGCTAATGCAGGGGACACAGGTTCAAGCCCTGGCCAGGGAAGATCCCACATGCCGCGGAGAAACTAAGCCCGTGCGCCACAACTACTGAGCCTGTACTCTAGAGCTCGTGTGCCACAACTACTGAGCCCACGTGCCACAACTACTGAAGCCTGCGCACCTAGAGCCTGTGCTCCGCAACAAGAGAAGCTGCTGCAACGAGAAGGCTGCACACCGCAACGAAGAGTAGCCCCTGCTCGCCTCAACCAGAGAAAGCCTGTGCACAGCAACAAAGACCCAACGCAGCCAAAAATAAAAAAATTAAAAAAAGATATTAAAGAAGGACACAAAACAGAAAAGCATACTACCTACTTGTAATAGAAGACTCAACATCTTTCTTTTTTAATTAATTAATTAATTAATTATTTGGCTGCACTGGGTCTTCGTTGCTGTGCGCGGGCTTTCTCTAGTTGTGGCCAGTGGGGGCTACTCTTGGTTGCGGTGCATGGGCTTCTCATTGCGGTGGCTTCTCGTTGCGGAGCACAGGCTCTAGGCACACAGGCTTCAGTAGTTGTGGCACACAGGCTCAGTAGTTGTGGCTCGTGGACTCTAGAGCGCAGGCTCAGTAGTTGTGGCACACAGGCTTAGTTGTTCCACTGCATGTGGGATCATCCAGGAGCAGGGCTTGAACCTGTGTCCCCTGCATTGGCAGGGGGATTCTTAACCACTGAACACCAGGGAAGTCCAAGACTCAACATCTTAAAGACAGCAGTCCTCCATTAGTTGATCTTTAATTTTAATACAACATGATCTCAGTAAAAATACCAACAAGGTTTTTATTTTGGAACTGAACAAGCTAGTTCTCACATTTATATGGTAAAATAAAAAGCAAGAAGAGCCATGAAAATCCTGAAATAAAAGGGCCTGAACTGACCAGCTATTAAAACAAATTATAAAACTACAATAATTAAAATGTACTTGTGCTAAAAAGATAGGTCAATGGCACAGACTAGTTATCCCAGTGTCATAGTTTCCTATCACTGCTAGTAACAAATTACCACAAATTTAGTGGCTTAAAACAAGAAAGATGTATTATCTTACAATTCTGGAAGTCAGAAATCCTAAATTCTGAGTTTTACTGGGCTAAAATCAAGGTGTTGGCAGAATTGTGTTCCTTCTGGAGGTCCTAGGAGAGAGTCTATTTCCTTGCTTTTTCCAGGTTTTAGAGGCACCTGCATTCTTTGCCTTGAGGCCCCTTCCTCCATCTTCAAAGCCAACAATCACTTTGACCTTGGCTTCCCTCATCACATCTCCTTCTCTGACTCTGACATCCTGACTCCCTCTTATAAGGATCCTGTGATTACACTGGTCCACCCAGCTAATCCAGGATACTCTCCCCATGTCAAGATCCTTCAAAATCTGCAAAGTCCCTACTGC